ATGTAATGTTTGGCCATGGAGGCTCGTCAAAGGAATCAAAGCAGGTCCAGCGTGTTATTCAGCACTTCAGACGAGTCTCCGCTCAGACTAACCCAGGCTGACATCTGCAGCTTCTGTCAATACCGGAATGATGACACTGATCTAACTAAAACATCAAAAAAAAGAGAAAAAGTAGATTATATGTAATGACACCTTTTCTATGAATCTGCAGACACTTCAAAAAATAACGTTAACCCCTCATACTTTCTCTAAAAATCTATAAACATTCAAGTTAAAATTGTCTGAGAACCTGTCGACGTACAAATGGCTGTACTTGTTAGAAAGCTGAAGCCCTGTAGTTTCTGATGGCTTGTTTACTCTGATTATAGGTGGGAAAAATCTTCGGACAGAGATATATAAAACTGCAAAGTCTGCCTTGATTGTCTTTGGTAAATATAAAGGAGGGTAAAGATTGACTGATCTCAGAATATTTAATTTGACTGAAAATAGCATTTTATAAATATCCGCACACATAGGTCCAGGATTCTAAAAATTGGAAATGAAATTTATAATAAAACAAAAAAAGAATGGCTGATGAAAGCGACTGATCCTTTAAGGGTGCATTCACAGAAATGAACCAAAATAGCTAGCAGAAGTGCAGAATAGGAGTGCAGTCTTGTTTGGTGTTTCAGCTTAAAGTTACTTCTGGTTCTGTGTATGTTATTCCTGTTTGCAATAGCAGAGCTCTGTGGGAGATACAATGTATGACGTCTGATCAAGTTCAAAAGAAGAATAATTGTGTGTGAAGAAATTAGACCTGTTCAAAGAATCAAGGAAAATATACACTAGTTATGAGACAATGCCATCGTATGAGTGTGTTCAGCTAAATTAAAATTATCTTTGGAGGTTAAAGATATTGTGTCCTAAATTGATAACAATAATATAAAAAATATATTTTTAAATACAGAGAGAAGTTCTTTTCAGCTCATCTCTGCAATTAACCACAGAGGTCTGAGTCTGTGAGTCATGCGTCTACTCGACAAAGCATCTCATATATTTCTGAGAAAAACTGTAGACCTTAGTCCTTGGTTCTGTACAAACATAAAATCCAATATTTCAAATACATGAATGTCTTGCAATGTCCAACAGTGTCTGTCTCTTCTATATCTTTATATTTTACATCTTAATTTGTAGCCGTTACCTTTTAACAGGATTAATAGTTATTGAATAGAATAGATAGAAGAGTTCCTGATACTTGTCCTTGATACGTTATATCTGCCAAAGCTTAAGGGAAGGCAGACAAATCATGTTGTTCAAAGAGTCCAAGAGTTAGTGAAGACATGAACATTCAGAAGTTATTCCCCCCTTAATGCAACACATATATGTATAGATATGATTTTTTTTTTATGAATACAGCATGAGTACTTTGGCTTCAGCACCTCTTTCTGCTCTTCTCTAACCAAGATGAAAAACAGTTTTCTGGTAGATTTCTCCACAAATTCTGTCACTGAAAGTCTCAGTGAAGGCATTATTTACTCTTTTCTATCATTATTTAGGACAGGGGTATCAAACTGGTTCAAGAAAAAGTGTGTTTTAATTCTAACCAAGCAGGATCACACCAAACTCCACCTGTTTTCTTAAGTCTTCAGAGGGACTGGACTCACTTGTGGAAAAGGGTGCAGTCTGTTGTGATCCTGCTTGGCTGGAATTGAAACTTTTGAGACCCCTGATTTAGAAGTTGTCTGCAATGCAACATACCAGGGATCCATTGTTTTATCATATTTGTCCATTTCTCTACATCATATATTCTTAAAGTGTATTTAACTAGGAATGTCACTTTTGCTTCTTCGCAATAAATAGATTTCTGGCATTGGAACAAAGTATCCCAGAGCAATGCAAAAATGTGCAATATGTTGCGGAGCATGTTCTCCTCTGGCCTGCCAATGTGCCACAGAGGAGAGATTATTGTCTGGGATAGCCTGCACTGTACTCCCCTGCACCTCTCCACTGCTGCACTGCTCCTTCGGAGCCCAGCCTCCTGCCAACAACAAGCAGATTCCAGATTTCCAAAGCATTTCCTGTAAAGACATAAATACTGCAAAAAATCTAGCTCGTCAAAAGCTTGTGACTTTTCCTCTCAAAAGGAGAATTTTGATTTGGTCAAATACATTGACGGCTATTGAATATTGCTGCTTACTATCCGAAGCTTACTTGCCACAAAAGCTCTCTGTCAGAAAATTTGCAAAGGCTTTCCCTCTTCATGATTTCCCAAACAGGATAACATGCAAACTCCACTCAGAAAGGCTTTGTGCTGGTAGAAATTCAAACAAAATGTGAAAAACTTCATGGGTAATAAATACTTTTTCAAACTACCGTGGTCCCCAATGATGATGATCATTTTAAAAACAGTGAGTTAACAGAGAGGTGTGCGCAGCAACAACAGCAACAACAGCATACATTACAGGAGATGATATTGGACATAATAAAGTGAAGTCTTTTTCCCTCTTTGGCGGCTCTTCCCCGCCTTCTTGTTGGAGCCTTTGTCTCTGATATAGCTGGTGACTATATGCACACATTTTATGTATAACAAGACTATCAGACCCATTTGCAAGGTTGGTTATGTCATGTTCCTTTAACAAAGTAATACCCTCCAGTCTGGGGACTCCAAAGGATTGTAGTTTTAGCTCCCTTCATCATTTGTATGGGTCGACGTGCCCGCTGTGGCAAATTGCAATTCCACATCCCATAAGGTCAGGCCTCACACTCCTTGTTTCTCTTTCTTTGGCTGGAAAATGACACTCAATAAGGCCAAAGAGGTAATGTGCAGGAAGAGGGCCATAATCCCCAAGGATGTGCAGACCTGAGGTTTTTAATCCCAGCCACTTTGCATGCCAGGGCAACGTACCAAGAAAAGTAGGGCACAGGGTGAACCTTGGTGCTTTGTTTGTCAGAAAAAAAGAAAGTTGATGCGCGTATGTTTGAACGTCTTTATTCCAGTTAGCTGAGTGAAGTGAGTTGTTTCAATAGGAATAAAACAAGTTTCTTTTTTTTTTTTTTTTACACACATTTATTTTACTCTTTGTTAACTTATTTTATTCTGAGTAAAAATAAGAGGAGACAATCTGTACTTCCCGAGTGGAGACATTTCTGTCAATACATCTCAATAATGGCAGTCATAGAGGAAATGAGATGTAACAATATAAGAATGGATATATGTCACAGTAGGTCTGTCTAAATACAGTAGCTCAACATTACATTTCTTGAATACATGTAGGTGAGTGGCTGCAGCAGGGAAGACCTCAGAGTAGAGCTGCTTCTCCTCCTTGTTGAGGCATGCACCAGTTTTGAAGACCCAGGCCACACTGGCGGGAAGCGTGCATCATTATGCTCTGTTGGCTTTGGGTCGATGTATAGAATACTGAATACTGCATAGTCCTACACTAAATGTGATTGTATTTTTTTAGATCAGCTACTACAAATTATTAAATATTGTCAATATATATAATATTAATCAATCACATTTTTTGTAGAGCGCCTTTCCCACACAAGGCAACACAAACCGCCACAACATCCAAATCACATCAAGCATAAACCCTAAACATTAAAAAATACAATTAAAATCCCATAAGGCATGAAAAACACACTATAAGATCACAATAAAAAATAAAAGACACAAAAATAAAATCACAGTAATTAAAAACCTTACAACATTTAAATCACGCATTGGTTTAAAACAGTGGGGGCGGGTCCCGGCTCAAAAGTGGCCAAAATGACGTGCGCTGACATGCTTGCAATACCACCCCGGGCCGATGGGGGCGGCCCCGGAATAAGAATTAGGCAATGCTAACGTATAGCATCTTCTCACCTCTCGGAAACACCTTTACAGGATGATCCAAAAGTCGGCTCTTGGCCCAAAGCTCCGTTCCAATTGTGTGTCATTGCTGAGGGGGGTGAATGACCACCAATTTTGGACCAGTCTTGTTTACTCGCTGTGAATTTTTGAAGTCACTCGTTTAAATGATTGGGGCGGCGCCGGCTGACGCATACGCAGATGCGCACATGCGTTTTTTTCAGATTTTCCAGCCCCCGCGGCCATTTTGAATAACTCCATGAGAGCCCAATTTTTGGCCCATTAGTTAGAACGGCGGAGATACTGTAGGCAGTCTATGGTTTAAAATCATAAATAGCCACAGTGCACTAAATTATCATATTTAATTGGTTTTTAGTGCACTAAAAAGGACATCATTTAATTGGTTTTCACTGATGAACTAAACCAGCAGTGCCCAAACCATCGATCACAATCTAATGGTCGTTCCCGATACTGCGCATGAACGGACAAAGCATGTAAAGATTTCATTTTTTTGGGAATCCTACAAAACATTTCAGCATATATAGAAGCACATGGCCTTCAAGCAGAATGACATTTACCATACGATGAACACCAAGTCATCATTAATTTAAGACCATAAATTACTTAAGACTTAATAGTCATCACATTTCACATGGGGATGAATTATTGCTCGATAGGTTAATGATATTGCATTGTGAATCGAACCAAATGGTGATGATCTGAAAGGTTACAGCTCTAAAACAGAGTTAGATTGTGGCTCACTGAAGATCTTGGTTCGATAAAGAGTGGGCACCCCTTATCTAGACACAATTTGGAGAAAATCCACAACAATTCAGAACTGCAATTTTAAAACCGCTCCAACAACAACAACAACTGAGTCCTCTTTTATTGCTCACAGTAAAGCAAACACTCATTTGATTTGGTGGGGTTATTGGTCCCTCTTCAGTAAAAATGTTTAATAAAAACACAAAACCAAAGATATTGTATGAGTTTGCGTTCAGACTTTAGAGCAGATCATATCAGGGTCAAGTGATAAAGTCATACACTTTTGCCATAATTCATTCTTCACAACATGTCATTTATTTTCATATAATTTCTTTGGTGTCGAAAATAGGAATCCAATGCTTATTCTTTCAACCAAAACGTGACAATTGTCGGTATAAAAACCAGGTCAGTTGTAGTTGGCCTGTCCATTTTTCTTCAGTCTCTTTTCGGTTTGCATTGTGCTCCTCCACTTTCCCGTCTTTGTTCCCTCAAACACTTTCTCGCTGCAGTTGGATGCGGACGGCAGATGGCGGGGATGTTGGTCGTCTCCGAGGGATCGCCCCCCCCTTACCCCCATCCCCTCAGCCAGGAGGTCAGCAAGGTGGGCTGAAGAGTAATTGGCGACTGGCAGAGGCAAAGCTGACACAAGGGGTGCTCTGGCTAACGGTAATTGACAATTGTAAATAACAAATAGAGCTGATGACTCAAATCACCTGTCCACACGATTCCCTCCATTAATTGCCAAACGTGACCTGACATAACAAACGATTTTGCAATTTTGAGCTGAGGCAAACGGCAGTCACTACGACCCGAGAGGGAGGACAGAATGAGAGAGAGCGAATTACATCAAGGAACAGATTGTTAATATCAGTGGTTTCATCTGGCTGATTGTGAAATAAATGGCAATGGGGCTTGCAGTAACATGGTGCGACACTGCGCGGCGCCTAATGGGTCGAGCAGCCCTCCACCAGCGGGGACCTAATGAAGTGAGACATCGTTTTTCACCCCGTGACCACCACAATGTCAAGGTGCCGGAACATGCCATTTGTGAGAAAGACGCTTGGCAGGGCATCAGCCGCTCAAGCCGACGATGTGTGCGCTAGGGCAAGACCGAGCCAATGGGCCGGTCGCGCCAACCACACTTTGGAGAAATATCAGCCATCAATATCATCAATCGACCTTGTGCTGACCGTGAAAGCGCTCTTCTCGCAACCTCCCCTGAGCTGTTCTCTTGCACACCCACAGGACAACACAACTCAACTGGGAGAGATGCGGGGAGCGACCTTGTCCAACACAGCGCACCGGGACATGTTTCTATTATTACAGGTCTGGAGGCAGTCATGCGCCAGAACACAAAGCATGTTTTACGGGAGGGTTGTGACTGATGACGGGGGGAAAGTTACAGAAAGGCGGTGCTGGCATTTGATTTAGTGGCTTCTGCTGCACCATAATGAGGAGTAATTCCATCCTGACAAAGCCTCGTCTCCCCCTTCCCTCCCCTCCTTTTTGTTGCTTGTGTCTCCATTCCTATCCTCCTTCCGCTTTACCTTTGCCTGTGGCAGACCTGCGCCTTTACTGTCGTTTGTCATCGTTTTAAGACTCTGGCTCACCATTTTCCAAAATTTTCCTCTTTCTTCTTCTGCTAAAAAAAGTGCCTGATCTTGTCTGAGGGGATTTATTGTCAAACCTGCAGGGAAAAAGGTACAAGATATCACTTGGTGATTTTGACAATGCAACAAGACCACATTTTTCCACGTCAAGGTAAAAGCACAGCACAAACTCAAATATATACAATAGTTTATCTAAATCTGCACTGTCAGTTATGGATTCAATCAACATGCTTAGCCTACAAGAAAGTTTTTGTGCTTTTTATTATTCGTAGAACAATATTAAAAGAGCATTCTAAGAAATAGGGAAGATTTATTGTAAAACAGTATGATAAAATAATGACAATGACAAACATTCAATATCCCTGGGTTTGGTGATTTAAATGTAAAAAAAACATACAATTTACAAGGGAATAAAACAGGAAGCTTCAACATTTCTTTCACTTTTCTTCTGGATAGCACTCTCGCCTCTCAGCAGGAAGGTCCTGGGTTCGAATCCTGGTTGGAACCGGGTCTTTCTGAGTGGAGTTAGCATGTTCTTCCCGTGCTTGCTTAGGTTTCCTCTGGGTACTCCAGTTTCCCCTACCACTAAAAACATGCACACTAGGTTAGATCCTCCAGCTCTGGTAGTCCTGCCCAAGCCAAGCATCAACCTCTAGAGATGGGTTCCCGGTACTACGGCGACCACTCCTCCTGACGTAAGCCTTAGTGGCATCAGGATCGCTCAAACGCAGAGGATGAATTGTCCTACGGGGATCAATAAAGTGCACCTGAATCAACCCAAGCACCAAAGCAGTTTGTCCAGTTAAAGTGAACTCTCCCAACCAGTATTTTCACTAGTTCCCTTAACATGAATATTACAGCATCTCTACAGACTCTTCTGAACAAATAGTTCAAAAACAATGATTTGAGAAACGACAGCTAGCTACTCATGTAAACACAAACCACCCTAAACCTGGTGGCTGCCTGTTTTTCAGAACCATAATTATCCTTAATCGACAAGGACATGTTTATTCTTTTAATCCAGGGAAAAGGCTCCACCGTGCATCATCAATGAATATGCCTGGGTAGAGCTGGTACATTTGCTATCAAGTGCTTCGAAAAATACAGTTGCTAGAAATGCTGTGTAAGCCCCAGAGTTTATTTCTGTATTTTCGTACCTCTGAGAAAATGACATTTATATAAGTTTCTGCTTTTGAAAGTCAAGCTGCTATTTCTCAGAAGCGTAATCACAGAGGATTTCCAAGACCCCATTAATAGCTGGGATATGTGCGTGCATGGTGCGATATAAGCCTAAAGTGGTACCACGGTGCAGGCGTTAAGCTTGTGTGATTGTCATATGGAAATGGGAAATAGTAAACAACTTACAATGAAACATATTAGCCAGTCTATTAAGAGTGGCTCGACGACTCCGCTTGCTTATTCTACCTGTCAACTGCGATCACTCATTTATGTGATAAACTGAGGTAATAAGGGTGAGCTCAAAGAGTAGAAGGTTCAATGAGATTGCACAGTGTGTTGTATGTGATTAATAGAGTCGAAAGTTTTAAAGCCGCACTGCTTCGACTGCGGCTGTTTTTCCTTCATATGGCTGGAGTCTCCCAGAGGACTGGAGGAGTCAGTTGTAATTTCTGTCCTGCAGATAAATTCAAAATGGAAGCGGACATAACTCTTTCCCCCCTCCCCGTCACTGTGTTTTGCCCATTTACCTTTCCTTGCCCGTTCGAAGTCTTAATTAGCAATGCCAAAGCAAACAAGCCTCTCTCCGTTGAGTACATTAGCTTGAAAAGGGGCCATTTACAAACTTCAAGAGTTTGTAGAGAATCAACTTTGGTCCAATGTTCCTCTTTGGAAGTCTCTGTTCGCTTTAATTTAAAGCCTGAAACGCCCACCCATTACTTTTAAGACACGGCATGGCGTAGACCGAGGAGACCTGTGACCATATGGCCCTCATTAAAAGGCTCGCACATAGGCTGTGACTCATGGTTCATAAAAAAGTGCGTCTTATAAATTAGAATTATTGAGCTGACTTCACTATGTCTGTGTAAAAAGAACCCCTTGATCTATAATGTTTGCTTTATTAGACCTACCTTAAAATACACGGGCAGCAAATGTAATGTAGCAAACATGACAATTAAAGATGGAGTAAATTTGAAAACACAAAAAAAGAAAAATCTGCTCTTAATCTTTTTGGTTGGATCACTTTCATTTTTGACATCTACAGACCACTCTCACTCAGACAATCAGCTCATGTTTTCTAATTGTTGTCTAATTTGTTCACTTGAACAAGACTCTTTCTGTCGAACAGAAACCAAGTGAAATGGCGATAAACTAAGACCAATGACATGCAAAGTTACTTATAGAATCCCTTTGTTATTACTTGGATTATTATGGATCAATTATTATTGATTTCAAATTTCTCAAATGTCATCAATTATGTAATGATGTAATGTTAATTATCAACATTACATCAAATAGAGGTCTGATGTATTTCATCTATGAAAGATTCATTACATGTAATGAGTCTTTCATAGATTAGTTTCACTTTGTATGTTTCATTATAGACTTTTGTGTGGAGTTTCCCCTGTATTATGCATTAGTCTTTTTCAAAGGTTTAAGCCCAGTGCAGGTATTATAATCATGATCATTTGTCATTATTGTTTGAGATACCACATTGGAGCTCGTTCTCTTTTTCTTCACCATCTCAGTCAAATGGGGCTCTGGTACCTAGAAAACTTATTGTGATGCATTAGGCTGTGTGTAAGAGTGAAATAATATACCCTTGAAATGATGCACATTATTTATTAAAACCATACAATTGAAACACTTATCTCTATTTGTCACTATATGCCTGTGTATGTGAATGACCCGGTGAACAATGTGAACATTCATGCAGTACAAGTAAATGTTTAAGACCTCCCTTGCAGCATCTTTTATTGCTGCATCTACAAGCCACTCTCTGGCCTCTCTGACTGACAGTGACTGGCGGTACACTTCATGGATTTAGGTGTGGAGATAAAGAACGTGTGCACAGCCGGCCTATTTCAGCACAATCCTTTCCCCCACAGGTGGATCAGATCCCCGAGGCACATCTCTAACCTCTCCTCACCCACATGATAAATATTTCACCCACAAAAATCAGTGGATATACCCAGAGCTGTAAAGTCTGCGTGTTAGGACTCGGGAGACTTCTGTTCGCATGGCCAGGATTGAGGAGGGAATCTCTGGGGAGGTTATCACGAGTTTGTGCAGGCTGCGCAACTTCTCGGATAAAAAAGATCATGGATGTCATAGATTATTGTCTGGGATGTATTTGCCATGTCTATTCATAAATGTACAAGAAAGTAAAAGTGGAGTGGAAACATATATGAGGTGCTTTGTCAGGAAGGTGGGTGTCCTAGTCCCTACTTTTGGCTCCACTGGGGATGATAGAAGAACAAGTGAGAATGCGCACGCTTGTGGCTTTTGCAGAATGGTAAAGCAGAAAGCAGAGTGACGAGTTGGTGTTATGTATTCTATTCACTGCAAAGATGTCTGCAGTGGCTCTGGTTTATAGGCATGACATTTCAATGATAAGTCCATTGATAGTTACTCTTAGTACAGCGGAAGAGTCATGATAATGTCAGTTGTATTTTTTTCTACATGCCATTTGCTATTTTGAGAATTTATTTTGCGAGGCAGTGAGTCTTTTTTGAGAGTATTTACAGGTATATTGCAGTCTCTATCCACACTCATGTAAGCTATACAGGCATGCTTCTACCATGACTTGACCATAAGTAAAATATACCAGATTTATAATTTGTTATTCATAAGGTATTTTTGTTGATAAGGTCTTTACACGTTTGTTAAATTTCAACCCAATTGTGTTTTAGTGTCTAAGCTTGGCCTTAAGTGGTATGGATCAGGTTGAGGAAGTCATCTACAAATACTATATGTTTACAAAGCGTTAGAATTTGGCGTTACTTAAGATAGTTTGGATCACGTCCCTGTTCCGTTGAGCAGATGGACTCTTTCAAAAGCATCTTGTAACTTTGCCTCAAACATTGGAACAGTAATTGTAAGTAAAATTGCAATCATACATACTGCATATTCTGAAAATAGATGAAGAGAGATTGATGAATTGTAGAGGTATGACATTGGAGGAAGCCAGAGCGTGTGCACAAAACAGGCGGGTGCACTGTCCACATGTAGAAAGGGGGGGCAAACCAGGTTTTCTTTGGATCTAGAGGTGTGAATGTGGATGAGTGAGTGGGTGATCGGAACTTCTTCCCTTAGTCAACCACCCTGGAGGAAATGCTTTTTGGCAATAGATCATATAGGCTGTATAACCACTAAACATACACAACACTCACACAACAACTTACTGTACTTTAAGATTTATGGCCACTTTCTGATAAAAGTTTCCTCATCAAAGTCTTTAAATTGTGCATCTATTACTTTTACTTCCACAAAAGCTTGAAAAAGTGCTATATAAGTTTGATGTGTTATTATTATTACTAAGAATTAGATTTTCACCCATGCTCAACCGCAGCAGCACGCAATGAAGACTGCGCGGCGAGTAACTGAATTGATCGCAATAATTAAAATGAGAGAGTCGCCTCAATGCGTCCAAATACCAACCGCATTGTACAGTCTGACTTCAGTTGTGGCGCACAGGTTTACATGCGTCTTGCTCAATAGGCCAGGGATCCGGTTTTCACAAGTTCTTTGTAAACGTTCTCGAGGATTTATGGCCACTTTCTGATAAAAGTTTCTTCATCACAGTCTTTACATTGTGCGTCTGGTACTTTTACTTCCACAAAAGCTTGAATGTGCTGCCTCTGCATCCTTATACACATCCCTACACAGCAATATACTTATATGCTGCTACATATAAGATTAGCCTCAGAATCTCTTTATGGTCATTAAACAGGAGTTTTGCCCTGGGTCTCCCTTCACTCTATTCAGACCTAGCAGTGTTTTATTAGTGTTAGAAAAGAGAGCTAAAGGACAGCCTTGGGAACGCT